GAGGAGAGGAGAGGAGAGGAGAGGAGAGGAGAAACACTTCAGTTGGAGGGGACCTACAACCATCATCTAGTCCAACTGCAAGGTAACCTCTTCCATTCATTAGTGTATCAGAATTGCTTTCTTTGGCAACAGTGATTTCATAAGACATGTTTCTACAAAAGAAGGTCAGTGTGCAAAACCTCTAACACAAACCTTCTAAATGTGACTTGCAGTTTAACAGAAATTATATGAACAAAGCAGAACAAAGCAGAACTCATCTCCCAATAGATGCAGCAATTGTCTGCTCATATCAATACTTTTGCTTTTAAGTGAGGTCTGTAGTATAATAATTGCCTTTAAACTGTGTGTCTGAAGTGATCGTGGAACTACTTCAGCTCTTCTAACATATGAAACTGTAATTTACCTAAGAGTAACAGAAGCCATAAAGCTAAGCTGGGAAAAGGAAAGGAAAACACCAAAACCATGAGTCAGGAAAAACAATCTCATCTGTATTCAAACAAGCTGTGATACACAAACTCCATTTTCTAATTTAGAGGTCACAAGCTACAAAATAAACAGCTGCTGTAGTCCAAATTCTGCCACATTTTTTCTCTTTTTAAGCAAACTTTATATTGAATTAATGTATTTAGGTTCAATAAGGCTGGTAGGAATGGAGTAATACAAAGAATGGACTATCTTCATATTCACACATAGGAAAACAGTCTCAAATTCACATGCAAATATGCACGCTTGCTTACATGTGACATGATTTTAATGCCATTCCAGTTTTACAAAAGTGTGACTCTCCTGATTTGAGTGGAGTTATCACTAAACTGCATCAATACCCTCGAGCATGAAATAAGACCTGGTGATCTGGGGGATGAAGACAGTTCCCCAAGCAGAAATGGTGCCTTTTTTATCTGGCAGAAAAAAAAACATTCATGCTGTTTCAACAGAAGACCTTGGGAGACAAAATCTACCCACTACTTCAAACGAGCCAAAGATTCCTTGTATCTTATTGAACTAGCACAACATTTAGAGCCTGGAGAGAGCAAAGACTTTACAGCGTATTATGGTTGGTATAAGACTATTTTGAGGCTCTTCTTCAGGACCAGGCAAAGTATTTATACAGAAAGTGTCCTAATATCCAGAGGTCTCTAATATAGTCCCAAAATCTCTGCTTTTTCTCCCCCTGGCTCCATCTGAGTTTCAGCCAGCACATACTACAGCTCCACCTGCTGATCTGCGATCAGTTTTGGTAATGCACAACACACCTGGGAGCAATGAAGCATGAAGTTGTACTTTCTTCTACCTATGCCTGAATTTATACAGGTGAGTACACACACAAATTATGAGACCATCTGACATCCCTTCTGCCATCTGACATGGCTTCTCAGTTGCCTCGCTCTGCCTTATATTTGGTGTTTGCTCACTGGATGTGACTTGACACCCACATGTGACATGATGCAACAAAACTGCAAAGTAACAGAAAGCAGAGAAGCTAACATGACTTTTTGTAGAGAAAACCCCAGGTAAGCCCATCTCTTAAGAGCTCTATGTAGCTTTGGTGGAGAGCTCATCTCATAATGGGTGGCAAATCAGGGACAATTAAGCAAAGTGGTACTCTGCAAATACTAAAAAAATTACTACAGAGATTACAAGCATGCTGTATTTCATTAAACCGGTGTTTTGGCCTACAAGGAGATGAATGAAGCCTGTTTAAGACTTTACCAGGTCCTTTAATCCTGTTTTATAACTAATTGGAAAACCTGTGGGGGGCCATGAACTTTAGCAGCTTCTTTGCAAATAATCAGGGATTAAGTTATATCAAATAAATCTTTTTTGAAACAAACAGAAAGCCACTCAAACTTTTGTTTTGCTAATTAGGTGGCCACCAGCATAGTGATCAGGAGACACAGGAGAGCATAGGACGTTGGCCAAGAGGCCCTGCAACATGGGAAAATTGAGTGAAGTCTTGACAGACTAATCACCTTCATGCAGAACCCCTCGCAGGTCTAAATCCAAGATACATCAGGGTCATTTTAATCCCAGTTTTATTCTTTTCAGTGACTCACAGTGAAGCACTAAATATCTCTTGGTCTGTCTCCTGCTTTTTGTCCCTGTCTGTATAAATAGTGCTGTATAAAAAGTGCTGCTTTTGTAAAGCCTTTGCAGATCTGCGGGAAACAGTTCTGTGGAAACCCTTATCCATTTGCTATCTCCCAGACACATCACCATCATTTACATAGAGGTCTGGGCCCAAGGGACAGTCCTTATGCCTGGGCCTCAGCAGACACTTTCAAGCACTGTGCAGAATATTTAAGCACCTGTGCCAATGCCTCTCTCAGTATGAGCCTGGCGGTGACAGCGAGGACCAGAGGAAGGGATGTACCCAGATTAGGCAGCCACTTCTGTCACGTTTGCTGTGGAGACAAGCAGGAGGGTATTTTTAACAGACGACACTTCCTCTGTTGGTCTGGCAAAGCCCAAGGCTGGTGACCTTCCAGGCACAGTGCAAACTCCATCTGTTTCCCCAAGCAGTGAAGGGTATTTAAGTGATGCAGGTGATGACACTTTGTTTGTTTGATTCTTTGAGATAGTTTATTTTCCTGTTACTAAACTTAATATATGGAATAATTTTCTCAAGTAGATTGTCCATGACCCACTGAAAGATTTGATACAGCAAAACCACAACAAACATGTAAGTGAAATACCTGCAACCTGCGTCTGTAATTAAGAAGGGCAACAAAAATTGATTTATTACATAATTTCCTTCTAGGGAAAAAAGAAGAAAAAAGAAAAAAGCACAAAAAACCCCAAATCATAAGTATATGAGAATCCTTGGGGAAATTTGCCATCTCTTTCCTCCCTGAAAATGGAGCAATGTATCATAAACCAAGCATACATTTTTTAGTAGGAAAGGGGATAATTGCTTATAATCAAGGCCAAATGTTCTGCTTGCACAGACCATGGGAGGTCTGTCACATTAGGTGATACTATCAGCAACCCTGCAGAGGAACATTTTAGCAAAGACAATGACTTCCTATCCTGACCCAAAACAATGCAATCAAGAGTACTGCAAAGCCAGACACCTTTTAAAACCAAAATGAGAGAATTACATATGAGAATCAGATAAACCCCAGCAGAAAACATTCCCAAGTAGCATGGACTCAGTATCTTTAGGACTCATCTCTGTCACCCTGGCTAGAAGAGCTGCGAGAGACCCCAGCCAATGCACCAGACCCTGAAGGTCCACTGCATTTGAGGCAACACTTGGAGTTTGTTCTTCAGTTAAAATAAACATCATAAAAGCACTAATTACTTCAAAATAAGCATAACAATCCAGAATATTAATGCACAAACCTCTACATTTTTTAAATCAAAGCACACTAAGTACTTAAGTGCCAGCACCATCTGGACTAAGCGTAATGCAAAGGAGCCAATATGGACTTCTGCCAGCTTCATAAGATATTTCAGGTATTTCTGATTAATATACAGGCACTCAGAAGATAACATACAAGATTTGTGGCATGTTTCACTGTTCACATGGAAGGAGGCACCATTTCAATAATGAAGGTAGTGATTCCTATGATTCTTCACCCCGAAGAGCAAAGATGCATCATTGTCAGACATGTCAACTGCCTGACACCCACCCACTAGCCACGTGTAACTAAGCAGTATCTGCTGGAAGTTTGAGAGATTCAGGCATCCGGTGCCACTTGAGATGCATTATGGTACCTGAGGCATTCCCAAAGGATTGTCAGGTGTCTGGGAGACACATGGGAGGCACGTGTTCTCCTGTAGTGACACCTGAAAACCCCAGGACTTACAGGACCTCAAGCCCACCAAATGTCTGTACCTGAGCATCTGAAAGGAATGGTTAACTGGGCCAAAGAAGGTAACCATTGGCTTTCTGGCTACTAGAAGGGGGAAAGGTACTTACAGACACATGATGTGAATGAGGATTAAGTTTTACTTGGTTGCCCTTAAGCCTGGAAGGTTTTGCTCGGCTTTTTTTGTCTTTTTTTTTTTTTTTCCCTTTACATTAAGCTCATCAAGCATTTAAGTCACTCTTCAGGGACTTTTAGTGTTTTGGGGGAAAATAAATGTTCAGGCTATGCATGCTTTTAATAAAGAAATTTTTTCACAACAGAAGTTTAGCTTTTCTACCCATGCACAATTTATTTGTGTATCTGGTTAACATCATATTAGACTCTTACACAGATACTACTGCTAAAGACAAGTGAGAGCTGGTATATACAATTATTCTCCTGCTTCCAGAGAGCCATAGAACTTATTTCTAAAGGTGTGCACTCATTGCTGTCTTGAACACTACTCCTTGCTCTGTAAAAAGGTGGCTGTTACAGTTATCCCCAAGATAACACAGGCTTTCACGGATAGTGGCTATGTGTAATTTTAAGCCTATTTGCAAAATTCATGAGCTAAGAGCAGCCTGTCAAGGGAACAATTGGATTTGCCAAAGGACCCAGAGTTTGCTAAAACAGCCCTAAGTACAAATGACCTGGGGTGGAGCTAGAGCACATCATGGCCATGATATAGCCCCAAGCTGCCAAAGCTCTGCCCATTATTGGGGGTTGACCCCAAGCATTGTCAGCCCCTTGGTGCAGGGAGACTAATCTTTCAGCCACAGCAGAGCCCATGTGCCTACCATGGGCCAGCACAACAGTTTTGAGCCTATTATGGGAGCAGTGCAACACACATAATGCACTCACTCCTCAGGTCTGATCCAGGCAGAGCATCAAGCTCATGCACCCTATGAACCTCTCCAGAAATCAGTGTTTATATACACTAAGTGTGAATTTCACTCCAAGCTCTACTGACAAAAATCCACATTTTAGAGCTATCTCAACAGGTCTCTGCAGAAAAAGTGGTTCCCAAAGGCAAAATACCTTTCCTACAGTACTGCAGTAAATAGTGCAGTATGAAGGCTACTCCACATTTATTAACAGAGCTATACACTGTGTCTTTTCTGACCAAAGAATGCAGCCACTTGCATCCACAGATAAACACAATACCAAGAAATACACAAGTATGCCTAAGGCAGTAGGAGCTGAGCCTCAAGGATCCAGGGGCCAACAAAGCCCAGAGCACACTGCACCTTCCTGGTTTTCACAACCATACAAATACTTCAGAAATGAAACAACCCTAACAAACTTCATGCAAATTGTTAATGGGATTGAATTTATGACACAGGCAAAAAAACCCTCGAAACTGCAATGTAAGAGTCAGTGAAAACAAAGGATTCACAGTTAGGGAGGCAATTTAGGAATAAATCCTTAGTGGGTTAAAATGGCGGATCGTTAAGGACATGGTCCACATTTCTGCAGCATGCAAATTCTTCTTGCAGGGCTCACAGTCCAACTTGAATGCCAGCTGCTCATTTTCCACCAGTTAACGGAAGATGAATTGCAATTCAACATGCAGGTGAGGAAGAAGATGAAGCCAGTTTTGTTGCTCTTTTTTAATAGTTCATTGATCTGCTAAAATTATATCCAGACCTTGTGTTGTATGGTATCCTGTCCCCTATAAATGCCTTCAAAACTGGAACTTAAAAGTACTGGAAACTTTTAAACACAATAAATAGTTTGGCACACTCAGGATATAGCTCAATTAGTCCCCATACCCTGCCAGCCATGGGTCTGTTTCATGTGCTTAACTCTCTGTGACACTGGGGTTTTTGCTGTGTAAGAGACGTGATTGTTGGCTTGGTTGGGATTCTCACATACAGCTCTGACTTTGGGTCTGATGAGGAGCAACAGCATCTCAAGGTCAGCCCACTGACACACTAGCACTGACAGAGGATTACATCCTAAGGAAGACCATCAGATGTGCCCAGGATCTACTCCTTATTGCAGTTTGCATGACCTACCTTGCTGCACAAATGTGAATGTAATTGGTAACAAATTGTCATTATTCAAGTGCATTTGAATGTATTTTCATCTAATATTTTTGCTACTCAGCTTCTGGTCAAAAAGGGATACTCGTTCATACCATTATTTTCATGATTGTGCTCAACAGTTTAAGAGCCTTAGTCCTCAGAATACAGCATAGATTTGCTTTGTTTTTGCCAGTTGTTTAAATCAGAACTGTAATATATGCAGCATACTTTCAAAAGACAGAAAAAGGAATTAACACTGGACTTCCCTTTTTCATTTTTCTTCATTATATTCACTTACCAATCCTGTGTGAAGCCAGCGCAAAATTCAGTAACTAGCAATCAATAAATTTCTGGCAATGACCCCCAGAGCAGAGAAACACCGTGAGATTGCTTCTGCTTGAAGCTTTTCAAATCTCTGCTTACATTTTAACTTTCACAGGATGCTGCAAGCTCCGTGGGCAGGACTGAGAAGTGTCAGGCTGTGAGTGCCTGTGCTTGGAATGTGGCTCTTTCCACCAAAAGCCCTCCACAGGCTACCCCAGACAGATTTTATTTACAGATACACTTCATTCTTACATGGCTCTAATTACAAAAAGGCAGTTCTACTCACTGAAGGTCCGGATAACATCACTCGGTGCACTGGCAGGGCTGGATCCATAGGAGTTTGCAGCTCGAATGGCAAACTGATACTTGGTATTTGGGAGAAGTCCCTTGAGAACCATAGACTCCATCTGGATCTGCTCTCTTATTACTGTCCAATTCCTGTCAAGGTCTGGCCTTTAGGACCAAAAGAAGTCAAAATGATAAATAATTAAAGCTGGCTGTGTAAATTAATTGCCTTTAAACTTTCCTGGGAAATACAAAAAATAAATGAGATATAAGCCTGCTAAATCATCACTGAAATCTTTTACTCTTAAGGGGTCAGACCATGCAACCACTACCAAGATGCAAAGCCTGTGATATCAAAACTATCATCATACAAAACCAATACTCAGATTTTGTTTATAAAGCCAAGGAGGCTGTTTAGAGGACAGTTTGACAAATCATGCTCTGTTTATTTATTTGCATGGATTTGGGGTTCACAGGTTTCAAGTGGGGGTATATTACTAGCAGTTCCTAGTCTCCTATTTGGCTGTATAAAGCAAAAGTTCACAACAGAAGGAAAGACCCTGATTTATTTCTAAGAGTTTGTGCTCCAATGCCACCAAATCACTTCAAACACGTAAAAGCATTAGCAGGAGAAGAATCTAACAGCTGACCTCCCAGGCAGCCACCAACACTGGAAACTCTGGATCCAGTGTCTTCTCTTAAAACAAACAAACAAGCAAACAAAAACCACACCCAAAATCAGAACAATAATACAAAAAACCCAGCCAATGCATGTACATTTTGTCACAACATTCCCATGTTTGCCATTGGAAAAAGCCTGGTTAACTCCTGATTCCTACTGGAAGCCAACTGTCAATAAATGCTTGGTTTAAGTGCCATTATAATTCATCTAAAATCAGTAGAATCATTCACATGGCAGTTTTGTCTCAAATGTGTAAGTTCATCTACAGAGGGACATCAAAAAGGGGAGGGCTACTTCAAATGCTTTGAGAGAGCATTCTGATACATTTGCCCAATTTCTACTCTCTCTAATAGTGGTTTCTTCTTATCAAAGAGAGAATGGAACAAGAAGGCAAGCAACTACAAAAAAAACACCAAAAAATGTAAATGTTAAGTCTAGGCCACCCAAAATATTAAAATTGAAGCCTATGAAAGTAAAATAAGGACAGAAATTCATTTCAGAGAAAATTATTCCAGTGTCCTCTAGTCAGATGTCCTTGTGATATTTATTACAGGAAATAACCTCCAAGTGCTCCCTGAATCTACCAGTGTTTACACAGGACTAGCTGCAAATGTCTCCACCAGTCTTCCTGTGAAAATTATAGCACAAGGCAGGCATTTTATATGTGTTTATTTGCAGCTGGAAGGAAATGCCGAAGTTAATGTACGTTTCCTTTTGCCAGTCAATATGAGATTTATTGATCGCTGAGGTTTCATTGCTTTGTGCCAGCAGGGCCAGTGCAGTGACAAAGCAGCAGCAGCTCCCAGCTGCTTAACTCCTGTGCACAATGCACAGGGTGAGAATATTTCATTGTCTTGCTAAAAATAAAAATCAAATCAGAAAAACACACAAGATTAAATGACAGCTAAACAGTCCCTCTTAAGTCACCCTCCACCACCATTTACTGGTGGACAGAGAAGCATATATTTTGGCTGTTCTTTCATTGTTTCCCTTCCCTGAGCCTGGGCCAAGTTGAAAATCCATGGTGTTTTCCAACAGAAAGCTGTTAACATTGCTTCCTTCCACACGCTTAGTAGTGTTTTCAATTTTCCTGTACACATCTCCTTTTTTGGCTCTAATTCCAGCCCAAGAAATTCCTGCTTGCTCAAGAGCTGCCTCAACAGCCTCTTTGCAACACACCCTGCCAATGTCTGTGCTTGAATGCAAACACACACCTCTGAGGAAGGGACTCAAAGGACGTACTGCACTGTGGAGAGTCCTTAAGATGATCCTAAGATGATTTAGAACGTAACGCAAACCCTAGACTAGCATTCAACTTCACAGACCGTCTCTTGCAAGGCTTCCTTCTGCAGAAGTGAGTAATAACGGAAATGCCTGCAAACATGTAAGCATCTGCAGCTGAAGGAAGGGGGAACAAGGAAGATTTATCACTAGACCTTTGCTGTTTCTCCAGAACATTCCCTGTGTGAACAAATTGGTACAAGATGAAAAAATGGCAAACAGATGGGGAGAGGAACAAAATAAACTCATCTGGTGATGGTGTCCTGGGCCAACCAGCTCCTGCGTTTTCTAAGCTGGAAACATTTTGTTGAAAACTGTCTCTGTGGTCCTTTTTGCATCAAAATTCAGTTTGTGTCAACTTACACATCAGAAGAACTCATTTTCATGCCATTTTCCCCATCTTTCTGCAGAGCTACATCCCCTGAACCAGCAAAGATGTCTCTGCCTCCGGCCAGGACATCACAGGGCTGCTCCAGACAATGTATCTGTGCATGGAGAAATCAGACCTGTTTCAAGGGCATTTTCTGCTCCTGAAGTTACAGCTGTGTGTCTCCAACACAGAAAGGCCATACAGTAACAGCTTGGTCAGTGACAGAGTTAGAATATTTCTAAGATAATAAACACGTGGATCAAGTCAATTATGGACAGACATCCATCAAGGGCAGAACTCTGCCCCAAACATAGCCAAAACATTTGTATCGTTCCTTTGTGTTGTAACCCAGGGACTGACTCAATTTGGAAAATAAAATCTTTCTGATATGGAGAACAGCAATTTTACACTCACTTGCACTTCCTCTTAAAATCACCTGGAAATTATTCCACAGGGCAAAGCACCTGCTAACAATCCAGTTTTTATACAGTTCTTGATTGTTCTTTTGTGCCACATTTGTATTTGTATCAAGTGGCAAATTCAGATCTACAGGTTTTTTTACCTCTTCTTGTTAATAATAAATATGGTGTCAAGTACAACACATTCTTATTCACTATGGAAAGTACTCAATGAAGAAAATAATGCACTATAGGATATTAGTAATTATTATTTAGCTTTATTGGCACACTTTCTACAAAATATATTAACCACAATGCCAGTTCAACTCTAAGGAAAGGAAAAGTGGACAGGTATCTAACTCCATACTTCTAATACTGCCTTATATTGTTAAAAATATCCTCCTTAATTTCTACATCTTCCACTCACCTTTCTTTGTCAATTACTTCTTCAAGGTTTTAACCCTCAAAAATAGTGAGGTACATATTGAGACAGGTGTATCATGCGTTAATCAGGAAAGCAGTAATAAAGGTATTTTTGCTGAATATTAGGAGGCATCCCCCTGATCAGATCCGTTGTTTCATGTTCTTTGCAAATGAAAGTAAATATGAGTACCCAGTACAGTGACATGCCAGGGACAGCTACTTCAACATGGAATGGATTTAGGGTTACATCTTTTTTAAGGTGTAAGGCTTCAAAGTAATTGAGAACTCTATTCACAACACTATGCTGAATCTGCTCCATCCTAACACCCATATACATCTTCCCAGCTTAATCGGCAGAACTCCTCTAGGTCATCGCAGGGGAAGGTTCTTGTCATGACCAAAATATTGAAAAATTTCCCCAGTTATGCAAGGACTAATTTTGAAACCTGTTGAGTCCATTTGCATACCAAATGACCTACTCCTTTTAAGAGATATTCTGGTAAAACACACACAGTTCTGTAGAAGCTAGCTGACTATAAAAACCCAGATAAGTTAGTCCTCAAGTTTAGAAGACTGGGTAGGCAATCAACAGATTAAAAATTTGAGTATTTGGAGCACTTAAGTGAAAATTTCCAAGACATTTTTGAGAATAAATTTTTTATACTATCTTTAGGAAAAACACCCAAACGAGTATATTGAAGCCCATGGTCTTGTTTTAGCGACTTCCACAACAATGTTTTTTGTCATCACATACTTCTCAGTGTAAAGAAATAGAGTATTAACACTGAGCCTGCAATCTTCCATGGATTCCATTAGCTGTTTTGGGTTTAACACATTGTTTCACACATTCCCTATGAACTATGCAGTGAGCAGTGAGACCTACATTAGCTCTCCTCATTTTCAGCATTTAGCCAAGTTGGGATTGTGGTCTCTTTAGCATCCTCTTATAATCAAGAGCCAAGCAGAGCCTGAGTTAGCTCAGCCCTTCTTACCTCTGAAACCACCTGCAGACCCCATGGCCTACAGTAAACCAACAGGTCCCAAGGGAAACTCAAGCACATGCCTAAACACAGGTCCAAATTCAGACCCTAAGCAGAGACAGACTGCAGGTAAGCTCTGGTTCCAATTAGATTATGGTACATGTAAACAATTAATGTATTGAATTATCACGAGATTTTAATCCCTAATACCACAGCTGAGCAAATGAAAATAGTGTTTTTCTCTCCTCTCAGTCTCCTGGCATGGTTTTTCTAGGGTTAAAGTCATAAAGTTAGTTCTAAGGGGACTGAAATAATTCCAACAACGTCATAGTTTTTAGAGGTTTGTGCTGCACCCAAGAGACATTATAGATTTGCATAAGAAAGTCCTTAATTTTCCAAAAGCACAGGATAATACTGTATTTCTTTGACATAAGAGGATTTAATTCTTAATTTATTTGCACTGTTTTGTTTTGGTCTTGCATTTGTTTAATTCAACAGCTCTAATTCATGTTAATAAATTTTATAGTAATTAAAACTATATGCAATAAAAGACAATGAAGCTTAAAGTTAAATCTTTACCTCTGACTGCCATTAGGGGCTATGGCTCATTGAACTTTCTCCAAATATATAATCAAGCTTCCAAGTCTAAGAGAGCATAATCCTAAAATTAACAAATACACTTCAGGCTTAGCTTTAAACCTCAAACTAAACAGTGTAATCAAAACATAGTGCTGTTAGCAAATTCTTTCCCAAAATCTAAAAACAACAAAACACTGAAATTTCAATTACTTGCATCTTTTGAAGTAAACAAGGAAGGTAGCTTTCCATTCTCTAGCTGGATAAAGTCATTTGAGGGTGCACTTTCAGTGTGTTAGATGGACAGGACAGTGCCCACTTCTTCCATTAGCAAGTCCCTGGTGCTATGAAGAGGAGTACCTAAACCTGCAGGCTTCACTTTCTAGCAAAAGCACAGAGGCGACAGAAGTGCAGCCAACAAAATCCCTTCCCCATCCACCAGGCAAATGGGAAAGAAGAGATGGGGAGCAAAGAGAAGGGCTCAGATGATTATTTTGTTAAAAAAAACAGGCATTGGAGAAATTTCATGGTAATGTTACAGCAGAGTTTACATGATGGCAATAACGTGTCTTTAGCCCTCATGTTCTGCCTCCCAGTGCAATCAATATTAGATGGCTTCCCACTAAATACGGGGCATTCTGATTCAAACACAAAGTGCAACTTAAGTTCACAAGAAGGAGTTCAGCCTGGGAACTCTTTTCATTTTATCAATACCTTCTATACTGCAACCAGACTTGAAGCATCGGAAAAAAATTAGTTCTTTCTGTCTGTTTTAAGGACAACTGTTTTTTAAAAATGAATGCGTTTTTCTGAAAAACAATTTTTTTACCTTCACAGCTCAGAGTAGTTAAAAAAAAACAATTCTCTCTTCTTTTCCAGGAACCTCAACTAAAACCTGCCATTAAATGTTCATGCAAAGGATTAATTTCCAAAGGTTGAATCTTGCATTCACTGTAAGGCTGAACATAAGGGTAAGTGCATGAAAATAAGCAGCTTTGCATACTGGCTTACACAAGTATATGAACAGTCAGGTATGATACTTGTTTGTGTATGCAGATACAACCACCTCTTCCTCCTGACCCTTCATATGCATCTTATAAAATCAACTTTATTGGCAGTTTTTCACAGTCCAGTTCTATCACTGCAAATTTTAGAGTTCAACATAAAAAAAAAAAAAAAAAAGGAAAAACAACCAGCACCCCACCTCCCCCCAAAAAAATCTAAATGGAAAGGCCAAATTTCCTGTAAACTTGATTAGCATTAGAATAACAAAGCAAGTCTGAGTTTTGCAAGCTCACGATGTGAGACGTCTGTCCAATAAAACTGCCCAACGTACTGAGCTTGCAATCCTCAGATTATTTCCTACAGTAGCCCAGCATCCTTCTGCTCAGGGGAACTGCTGTGCTACACACGCTTCTCTCAGTATGGTTCAACAGCATTTGATGACAGGAGAAACTTAAAACTTCATTTGCCCAGCCCTTTACCAGAGGAAACATGGCAAATTAGACCTTATTTTCTTGAATCAGAAGGTACAATTTATTGGTGATTTTATAACATACTAGATTAATTCCAGTAATTCAACACAAATCAAGAGGAAAACTAAGTTTACCACAGACAGAAAGTAAATATATCATGAGAAGAATCTATATGCAGTTTAATAGTGGAGTTCAGGTAAAAAATCCTGTAGTTCACAAACACTGAAATTCAGACTCCATGGGCACACTTGCCTGATAAACTCCACCATGTAGTACTGGATGGGAGAACTTCCTTCACTCTCTCCAGGCTTCCAGGATAATGCAACTTCAGAATCAGAAACTACCACAATCTGGGGCTGGTCAGGTGGTGCAGGGGGCATGCACTTGTCTAAGCCAGAAGAAATGCAAAGGAATAGCATCAGAGACATGGACAGGCTATCATACACTTAAACCCAACACCCACAGACTGGGGAACCAAACTGAGAGGCTTCTCCCTTCACCTGTTGCCCCTCTAAACCAATATACTTGTGGAAAAAGCAATAGTAAAATATAACGATGACAGAGTTTCTCAGGGATGAGCAACTGGCCATGTGACTGATGTGTGCCCTGCCAGTTTTGCAACAGAGAGCCATGTATGCAGCATTACCTTGGGACAAGGTTGTCACGTCTCTGGGCATGCTGGGCCGTCCTTTTCCTGCCCAGCCATATGCTCCAACACTAACACGGTGCGGAGTGCCTGGCTTCAGATCACCAATAACAACCTCCTACCAGAGTCAAGAGAAGACAAGACAAGAACATGGTGAAAACTCTTCCATGTAACTGCTGATGGTGTTGTGAGCTGGGATTAAGGGATCTTATACAGCATTTTTCATGTAAGCTCCTAGGAGGATTGTCCTCAGACCAGCTCGGAAGCAACAAACACAAACAGCACCACGTGTTTCCTCTCAAGCTGCAGCTTTGCCCTGGGGAATCCACAGGGATGACCTGGACCCATTTCTCAGCATAACTCACAATGTTGCAGATGTTTGCATTCGCTGTCTGGCTTTTTTGCTGGTGAAGTCAAGGTCACAAAGTATTCCCTTCCTTGAGCCAATTGCTGGCATGTGTTATCAGTTTGGTACATTTTCTTTATTATTTTGGTTTTGTTTTAAACCCAGAATCCATAGCAGCTCCTGAGAAAGAAGCAAGTTGCTGCAGTGTGAACTGATGCTTTTTAATTTCTCACGGAGCAGAGATCAGTCCCAAAGCCTCTCACAATTTTCCTAGCCCAGCTATCAGACTTGACCTGAAGCAAGCATTTCCCTTATTTGTCCTGCCACAGAAACAGAAAGATTAACCCACAAACAACTACTGTAAGGGAGGCAATGCTAACTTCCATCTGAAAAGCTTGTGCTGCTGAATACTGTTCCAAGGAGTCTGCCCAAATCTCCCAGAAATTAGCAAATGTCACCAAAAATCCTTAATTTTATTACTGGCTGGCACACATAGCATGGATCAGCTTCAGACATTTAGATCTGGTCTTTAATGGAGCCTGTGTATGTGTGTATAGAAATCCAGTATTCTTTACATACAGCCTATCTGTAGAGAGATGCAAATCCCAAATGTACAAATTTTGAAAGCACGGACAAGTAAAAAGAAATATCAGGTTCTACAGCACAGACTGTTTTGGTGTGAAAAAAAGCACTTATAAAAAAATCCTTTACAGAAACCTTTCTTCTGTTTTCCATCCTTTGATACTAAAAACATTATTTACAGTGTGTGTGAAAATGTAGAGATCTCCTTTCTTTTCACACTGGAACAGACTTTAAATCTGCATTTCCAGTTGCAGTAAAATAGTAAACAATGACAAAAATTTATTAACTGCTAAATTTCCTCATGACGCCCTTTTGGACAAACTCTCCTTCTCTATTCTTTGGGGAACTCCTGTTACTACTACATCACTGTTAGGCAACACCCTGCCATCTGTCAATTCTCTAGCCACAGTTTTGGAGCTCCATCACTGACTTCTAATTACCATTGACCATTATTCTGTTTTTCCATCATTCACCCTTGATCTGCTTGAACGATTTGGATTCATCTGAGAGAGATTATAACACTGCTTGAAAAGCAACTGCCGAGAGAGAGGCAGCAAGAACACTCACACAGAACAATTTATCTGGGTCTTTCCAACTTATAGCTGAAGTGACTGAGATCTTTCAAGAGGTGATCTGAAAAACCAGTTGCTGAAAACCCCACACCTCCTCCTGATGAAAATACTGATGATCCTGCTCCTGCAATTCCATCCTCCCTGCCACACATACTGTCCATCTGTATTTAAACTGTGGGTCTTTGATCCTGATGGCATCCCTTTTTATTACATTCAATCTTACGGAAAAAAAAATATAAAAAAAAATAGAAATAATCCTGCATTATATGTCTTCTTGCTTTCACACAACTCAGGGAATTGGCTTCTGCAGACAGTGGGATATTGATGTACTTGCCCCGTATTATTACCTCCAGACTCAAGTCTAGAATGAACTAAACAGAACGAGTCTCATAAACAGCAAGGCCAATCAGATTGAAGTTGTAATATTGACTTAGATTTTTAAATTCAACACATATACTCTCAAAACCTCAGGGAGGTCCTCTCTTGCCTTACACACATAGCAACACGCCTCTTTTTCTTCTGGCAATGTCCTCATACGGTGACATTTGAGATCTTTGAGATCAAGTACCTTCTAATCTTTGAGATCAAGACATCAGCAAATAGGAAAGATTCAGGAAATCACCGAGCTCCTCTGATCAGTGGCAATTTTAGGGAATACCCACCTCACACCAAAACATTTTCAAATGAGATTCTGGAAAACAAACACATTTCTTTGTACCCCACTGTCCAGGAGCCTGGAGGTACAAACTTCATTTCTTCTCTGTATTTAGGACAAGTATCTTGAACCCAAGTTTTCTCCATCTCAAAAGAGACACAGCAGCTTCACAGGTAAGTAATTTAGGTGGTATGTGGAAGAGTTAGCTCCCTATCATTTTTGTAGTCTTTATCTCCAGTCAGATTGCCTCTACATTTTGAAACATGATACCCTAAATTGGACACTACGTTGTTGATGAGGCTCTACTAGGCCCTGACCTCACTTTCTTGTCTTACACAACACTCTTGCTAAAACCCTGCAAAATGACATTTGGTATTTTCATTACAATCTCACATGCTTGAATGGCATGAAGCAACATGATGCCTCTTCTGTGTCAGAGGGGTCAGGTGTGTGTAGAAACCTTATATCCCCCCCTGCCCTGCCACACAGCGTGCCCTCCCTCCAAGTGTGCTGAAACTGAAACCTGGATTACAAATTACCTTCCAAAGAAAACTTGTTTTCTGTTTTGCTTTGCTTTAATCCAAAAAAGCATCAAACCCCGTATTACAGCACAGCTGCAGAAACTGAGCTATGTTTAATGATACTTGATCCCCTGACAACTCCTTCCCCACACTACTGGTCTCAGCTGGTCACTGCCCACTTCGTACTGGTGTGTTTGGTGATTTGATAGGGAGTATTATTGCTCTCTGGGGTTCTGTGACTGACCTAAAACCTCCCACCTTTAAACTCTGCAAATTTTTCTTGCCCTTTTTTTTTTTTTTTTTTTTGACATTTGTGTTCAACTTCATTAATATATTGCCCTGTAGAGCAACTGCCTTATTAAATTGTATTGCATCTGCACTTCTCCTGGCTGCTCTCTTTGATGTGTTCTTTATTACAAGATGACATCATGTAGCTATAATACATTATCCACTTCGCTAATGCACAGGCACAAGCACACATGCACACACAGAAACAGGTGAGCCAGTTCAGCTCTTGCTAGGACAGTCTCACACAGTCCAGAGAAGCTTCTGAGACAGCAGCAGGACCTTACCTGACACCATCAGAGGAGACTTGGTGACAGAAACGTCAACTATGCAGACTTAACCACAAAACTATTGCAGATTTCTGTTGAGTTTGGTATGAATATAACAGCATTTCAGCAAGAACACCACTTCCTGAGGATTAATGACAGCTGGGAGCTGATTAATCCCAGTCAGTCATACTTTTCTACAAGTACCCCTCAGAAGTGTTATTTTTATCAAGAAGGAAAAAAAGGGCCCAGCATGGAGCCTCAACTCTGAAATGCCATAATTCAGACCCAACTCAGCCAGATAGTCCTGGTTCAAGTACATCCTGAGGTCTCTTCCAGACATCAGTCTCCTACAGTACAATGAAACTTCCCTTAATTCAGACCATGAAAGCTGCGTGAGATCCACCAACTTTGTGGGATTTCTCTATTCCTAGAACAGATCTCAGAGAAGAAAGTTGTCAAGGGATTGTTGATGTTTCAGTTAAACACTGAAATTGTTGCCCTTATCCTACCCAAACTGAGCACCTCCTGCTTTTTTCCCCCCTCACAATATGCCTAATCTGTTTAGTGCTCAGAGGAAGCAGGCTGGACTAAGTGCACAACTGGAAATAATTAATCTGAATATTTTACCAGCTGCAAAGCCATTGAGAGGGCTGGTATTTCTTTCAAACCTGTTTTATACTAGTTCTTAGTCTCCCACTCCTTCCTCCTGGGCATTCAGTGGCCAGCCTCTTGCCACCCTCCTCCCTCTTGGCTCTTGCTGGACTGGCTCAGGTTTTTTCCTCTATCTCCTCTCCCATTGCCAGACTGCTTTGTTCTTTTCTGTCACTATGTGTCTGACTATACAACTGTCCTTGTCCCCATCAAGTCCCCACTGCCTGGATATAGCTCATTGTCTACACGAATTTCCTCCAGCAAAACAGCACAGCCATAAATACTTTCGGGACCAATAGGAAAACTTATCCATTGCTAAAAAGGGAGCTACCATCCCTACACACATGCTCCTTCTTAATTTTAAGCTTTAGGTACTATTTGCCACATTTTTGCTACAAAGTACCCTGTGTAAGTGCTAAGTAGAATCACTCTTTGAGACCAACTTTTGTAGGTGAATATATGGGAACATCAAGTCAAGAATGCTCAATGTAATTTGAAATCACAGCTGCAACTAAATTTATGTGAGGAAATACTTACGAAAATTGCTTGTCCTTCAAGTTGACCCTGAGAAAAAGTAAAATAGGTCTTGTTAATGAAGTAACATACTAAAAAGTGACAGCAATACCACATAAATAACAGGTCAATCCATAGTAGTATATGTGGCTGGTATTCATCTGTGTGGGTACTGGGATACAGACTGTTCTCCCAGCAAGAATTACTGCTGTTAGGATTAAGATAAAAAAACCCCAATGTGCTGTTTGATCTTTGTTGACATGACTAAGAAGAAGGTTTGTTGGTTGCTTTTTTTTTGGGGGGGGAGGGAAAGCAAGTGAAGAATAAAGAGATAAAGATCAGAAGGGAGAAAATAATGCATAAATAAAGAAATAATGTATGACGGCAACAAGATTATTTAATTTGCCATGATCACAGAAACCTGCAAGAGTCAGAACTGACAACCAGAGTGAAGGAAAACTGCAGAAAGTCTGAGCATCCCCTCTCACTCACAGGTCTCAAAGGGAAGGTTTCTGAGCACTGCCCAGCAGGATCAGGAAATATCAGTGAATGCATATCACTGAATATCAGGCTGAAGGAAGAGGGGTGAGGAAATAAAGGAGAAAAAAAGAAAAAAAAAAAAAAGAAAAAAAAAAAAGAGAAAGGAGGAAAAAATTGACCTGTGACCAAATAAAAATTGGAAAGCCTGCAAAGCTCCTCTGAGCACACACATAAGCTTTTGATTCCTGTGCTATTAACCTTGCGGTCTTGTGGTCAGACTGCCCTTCACAGAGGGTGGTATGAAAGTGCTCCCCTCACAGCACCCAACCAGCAGCACCCCTTCACTCTCTGCCCAAGCAGAGGCAGGAAAATCGCTGTGTCTGCCTTGCTAAATTCAAAAAGCAACTTCTCTGGCCTGAAGAAGCACTGGCATGTCTTGAGAGTACCCTTAAAAACGGACAGTGTTAAAACTATCCAGGAGCAGAGGGAGGTTGCTTTCATCTCAGCACTAATTGCTCAGCCGTGCAGCAGAAGAAGATGGGCAGTGTTCATTTGTCAATAGAAATAGAAGGGGACATTGTACAGAAAAAGGGAAGGAGGAAAGAGAAAGGGAGAGTAAAATAAAGCAAAGTAAGACAGCAAAGGAGCGATTAAAGGAAAAAGAGAACTAAAGGAAAAAGGAAAAATGGGAAGCAAGGAGCAATAGTGTTTTCAAGAACAAAAAAAAACAAAACAAACCAAAACAGAAGTTGATGGAAATTTCTAGGAGATGGGCTTATGGGAGAATGACCACGAGCCAGCAATGTGCCCTTGTGGCCAAGAAGGCCAATGGCATCCTGGGGTGCATTAGAAAGGGGGTGGTTAGTAGGTCAAGAGAGGTTCTCCTCCTCTTCTACTCTGCCCTGGTGAGGCCACATCTGAAGTATTGTGTCCAGTTCTGGCCCCTTCAGTTCAAGAAGGACAGGGAACTGCTTGAAACAGTCCAGTGCAGAGCCACAAAGATGATGAAGGGAGTGGAACATCTCCCTTATGAGGAAAGGCTGAGGGAGCTGGGTCTTTTTAGCTTGGAGGAGACTGAGGGGTGACCTCATCAATGTTTATAGATATGTTAAGGGTGAGTGTCAGGAGGGTGGAGCCAGGCTTTTTTCAGTGATGTCCAGTGACAGGACAAGGGGCAATGGGTGCAAACTGGAGCACAGGAGGTTCCACGTAAACATCAGAATAAACTTTTTTACTGTGAGAGTGACAGAGCCCTGGAACAGGCTGCCTAGAGAGGTTGTGGAGTCTCCTTCACTGGAGTCATTCAAAACCCGCCTGGGTGTGTTCCTGTGTGATGTGCTCTGGGTGACCCTGCTCTGGCAGGGGGCTGGAGTAGATGATCTTTCCAGGTCCCTTCCAACCCCCAAGATTCTGTGATTTGCACATCTGCAACTAAAGCAGCACTATTAAATTTTAAATTCTGTAGTTCAGGAGGCCATAGACTCACACAGAGAAAAAAAACACACTGAACTGTGTCTCCTTTAACTTACACACTTTCCTGTGTCAGACACTGCAACACACATACACTGATATTCCAGCTCTGTGTATAGAGTCATTCAATTTCCATTCCATGTGGGCAAGTACATAGAAAATGCATATTAAAAATAAAAATTCTTATTTTAGTAGATGTCAAAAGTCAGTATTAGGAAGCTGCAAGCAATTCCCAATAGTTTTACATTATAAACTAGGCAGCAAACAAGGAGCAAATGTATATTCACTGACTGAATTACAGAAAAACTTTGTGATTTCCTTTTGACCAACACCAAGAGCAGATCTGGGGCTTGGACCCTCAATGTAGCCCACAAGCCAGCAGCAAGCCCATAGCTACAAGTTCCCACATGCAAGCTCTGCTGCAGTGCTCTGACTGCTGATTAAAAGAAATACTCACCATGCTAAGCATATCCAAACTCAAGGGAACATCATGTGAGAGCTGTTTAATAGCTTTGTCATCTTCAATCTCTGAGTAAAAGACCTTGGGAAGAAGATACAGTCAAACTATTTAAAGCAATAAGGCAATGCTTCAGAATTACTTCAAAACAAATGCATTGTTATCACATTATGGGCAGCATTTGAGTCCATCATTATACTTTTCCAAAAGCATGAAAAGCTGATGCCTTTAAACATTCCCTTCATATTTTCTAGAAGTTGTCAGTATGACCATCTTACAGTGTATACACTGAACTGAGGTGAACCACAGCCAAATTTTCAGGGCAGACTTGACCTGACACCTTTAATTGTGCATCATTTGGCCATGGTCAGCTTGGACAGCTAAATATTTGTGGGACTGGTCTGCCCAAGCCAGGCATTTTGCTTCAGATAAGGAAAATACTTATATTATGTGATTATGTCACTATAAAACATGCTTTATCACAAAAGACTCTCCATGCCTCTTTCTGTGTGCTGAATACTAATGAGCCAGAGAGACTCTGATTTCCTGTGCACAGAGGTCCCAAGATGCTAAAGGGTCAAAAGCTAAGATAAAGTGAAGATGGTTTGGATATAGCACTACCAATGCCACTTGTCATTGGTTTTACCACCATACCTCACATGAGCTCAAGGTTTAAAAATACATGTGAGTGCTTGATGTACTGCATAAACAGTGAAAAGTACTTACAATTTGTGACTATACAGTATTGGAACTGTTTGAAAAACATAATGAGCTATAGAAAAGGCACTTACTCACTGCACCTGTGTTTTCACACAAGAGAATGGACCTAACTACACACGTAGTCCATCTGAGGCAGCATCTGGCCATAGCAAGTGCTTCTCAGTGTCCTAGAGGACAAGCACTTTCCTAACAGTAAAAACAACCCAGCAGCTGGGCTGCATTAGTGTAATTTACATAGCATGGGATGAGGAGCACAAGTACCTGAAAATATGAGTTTCAGGGAATTTTCTCACTCTTGGAGCATATATCAATCATAATGACAGTGAGAAAATTTCTGCTTCTCAGAAAATATAAAATTACATAAAATTATATAAAATTTAATTTTGGAGTATTTATTTTCTGGAAATTTCAAGTCTTTCCAAAACAAACAAACAAACAAAACCTGCAATTTGTTTTTTTTTTTTAAGAGGAAACCAATTAACTGTAGTTGATATTGCACATTTATTGTGCTAATTCCCCACTGACTGACTACAATGTTAGGCTTGAGCTTCATTGACATGGAATACCTGTTGAAACAATATGTAATCAATGGCAGATTACTGCTCACTGTTTTTCTGCTTGCACACTAAAATACAGAACCCAGGTTCAGCTAGCCACTCTGCATTGCTTGACAGGCAGCAGGGAACGTGGCAGAGGCTTGGAGGGAGTCAGAGCTGCCCCTACAAAGTTGCTGGGTAGAACAGGAAAATCACCCCACTTCAAGAAAAATTCACCACAAAGGTAGGGAGGGAAATTTAAAAAGTCTCTTTTGGTATGTAAGACTGTGGCTGGACTCCCAGGGAGGAGTACAGTATCTATGCAGTACAGTATGTATCAGGGGAAGAGACACCACAAACTCTCCTTCCCCTGTACCTGCTGCCACTCTGGGAAGGTTTAGAGGTGTCTCTTGGAAAAGCTGCTCTTGCTAAAGCAATCCTCAGGCTGGATGGACAAGTGAAAGGATCTGAACAACCCTGAAATCACTGCACAGTGTAATATTGACCTGATCTGCCCTATGTTACTGTTTTATCAGCTGCAGAGAGCACCAAAATCCTTGCACAAAAAAACCACAACAGAAAAGCAATCTATGTCCCCTGGCATCCAACCCGAATTCCCATCATAGCCTTCTTCTGAAACAGGAACTGCTTGTTAAAGATAAATCTCAACCCATTCAAGTTCCCCAGTCGTGTTCTGGGCACAATTTGTCACCAGAGCAGGCCCTGCCCTCCCCTGCCAGCAGCAGCCAGGGTGACCCACCGTGTATCCCGTGACGGTGCTCGCGTGCTGCTTCGGCATCCGCCAGTGCACGCTGAAGGCTGTGCAGTTCAGGGAATCCAGCAGGATATCCAGAGGAGGCCCCAGCCTATCTGCTCAAAGCAAAATGAGGTTGTGTAAGAAGTCACAGGACACAAAGCCTCTCCTTTAGCCACCTGGCAGCCATGGCTTTGAAGAACAGATGTGTGCTACTCTCAAACTGTCACACATAGCCCGCTGCTCATGTTTGGCTTGGGTGCACCTTCTGCCTCTCCACCACTGCTCTCCAAGGCGGCAGCAGCAGGACAGCAGGAGAGAGAGGACAAAGGGGGACATCCCCTCTCCCAGTGGCAACAAGCTGTTGATCAGCTCAAGACACCTTATGGACACCTTCAGGCTCCCCCTTGCTGCCTCTCACCCAGGTTTCACACTCAACAGAAACACCCTGGTGTGAGGATGACCAAAACCAGAACACCTCTTCAGCCTCTCACTGCTTTGACACAGACCGAGACCCCCTTGATGGGCTATTAAGAGACTCCAGGATGACTACCAGTCTCTCTGCAACCCCAATTCCTATGGATAGGAAGGACAACGGTGAAGTGAGAAGGAAGTTTAGCCCAGTGAGAAGAGCATAGAGGACCCCCTAGCTCCCATCCGCCCCTCTCCAGATGCAGGTGACAGTGATGGGATCTCTCACCATCAGGCTTTCAGCACTGCCACAACCAACCCTGCCTCTCACCAGCTGCACTGGGAGCAGGGCATATCTACACAGCTAGACTGGTCACACAGCACCTGTCCATCTTACAGGCTGATATTTTTGTACAATAGTTAATTCCACTCTACCAATAAAAAAATGCTGGAGGAGAAGGGAGCCCTGAGATCCACATCTTGTGTTAGCAACTGCATTTACTGCCTGAAAAATGGGCAGGTGGAGGACTGTGTCTGCTCTGTAACCCAAGCACGGTTTTTAAAACAGCCTCTCCAAACCACCACCATCTGTGCTCTTGAAACCAAACCCACCTAACAAACAATAGTAACAGAGAACTGATTCAGACACTTCAACAACGTAATTTTTCCTAGGCAGCAGTTTTGCTATATTTTGTTTTTTCGCGTGCTCTTATCTATGAAAACTTTAAGTAAAATCTAAGGAAACCCTTTTTTTTCCTTTTTTCCCCCTAGCTCTGACAACATATCAAGTAAAAACAAGCTACTGCAAAGGTAATTTTTAGATTTCAAGCAAGCCTACATCATACTTAGACTCAACATTTCCACCAACATATTTGATTTGAAGCTAAATACAAAATTTAACAGCTTACAAACTCCACATAGTTTCAATCGCCACCAATACCCGAGTAGTTAGAACAAGAGCAGAACTGATATTTTGCTCTTTTCAGACTGAGCCTGTATTTTCCCAGTTATAGGAACTTTTTTGGATTATGTTTCTTCATTTGAGTGAGCAAGCATGGCCAGCCAAGGTCCATACCTGTCAGTTAACACTGGTTACTCTTCATTTTCCTGGCATTTTTTATCTATTTATTCCTCTCCAATGCTAAAGAAATCTTGGACAGTGCTAGGTGTAGTAATGAAAGGATAAATATATAAATATATATATTTAAGAGACTCTAACTTCTCTTACCATTCAATCCCAATGCCTGAAGCTTCAGCCCTTCTTATCTAAAAAAATTCCCAGCAGGCTGTATCATGGGCAAGGCTGCCCAAGCACTGCATGTGATGGGCTCTTTACCAAGACCTTTTTTTCCCTTTTTATTGTGGACACAACACAGTGGGTCATCAAAAAAAGTCAAACAGTACACCTTCAGAGAAAGTAATGAGCTGTTGTATGGTAGAGGCCTGTATTTTCTACACAACCCAAGGATCTTTCTTATCAATTTAGTTTGAATGAAATTCTGAAGACTAACACACTATTGTAACATCCCCAAGAAGTTTGTGTAGCCGTAACAGGACTTTATACATCAAAGAAAGAAAAGTACTTAGGGCTCTACCTGCATGAATTGTCATTGTTCTCTTCAATGATCTAACCTGAGCTAATGGAGCATACACAAGAATTAGAATCTGCCCTAACAGGCTCCTACTTGGTAGACCCAAGCCACCAGCCAGATTCCCAGGCTCCCTCCCAGCCTGCTATGTTTCCTAGAGGGTAAAGCAGGGAGCAGCAGTCCCCTCACAGCTCCTTTCCAGGCACACCATCAGCACCTCCCTTTCCCCAGCTCCCAGGGAAGGGGCAGAGAGGATCTGAATACATGGATCTTCAAGTAGACAAATAACCAACAAATGCTTTGGGCAATGCAGTTCAGAAATTTGCAGGCTATTAAACATGTTTCTGAGATGATGGGAACTACCCAGGACCCAAAGACAGGGATATCCACACATCCATGCTGTCTGTACAGTGTGTGGAAAAGCTTCAGACTCCCAGCAGATTCTGCCTGGCAAGGTTTGGAGGACAGCACAGCTCACAGACCAGCTCTGTAAGTCAGCACAGACAACTTTTAGGAAGGAAAGCTGTCCAGCCATGTGGATGAGAGCCAAACCTTGTCATGCTACTTGCTCTCTAGGCCCTCACCCATTTCATTTATTAGCACAGCCTTAGTCTCATGGATCCCTGCTTGGTGCAGGGACTCTGAGCACAGCAGTGTATCACCTCCCATGTTCTTCTCCAGCCCTGTGTTCAGCAGTAGCTGGACCATAAATCACCACCATGTACCACCTCAAAGGAGAGGCAGGGAAGAGCACGCAGGGCTGGAGTATCACTATCTACTTAAGCAGCATTTCAGATCTGGAAAACACCTTTCCATTCTTCACAGCACTAAGTGAGGCAGATGAATATTAGAGCCTTAACAGTAGTAAAGGAAAAAAAAAAACCCACCAAACATTCACTCTTAACCTATTCATGATTTCCTTGCATCACTTTCTAGAGAGGGTGTGTAAGACTAGTCTACTGGAAAGCATAGCTGCTGAAATAACAAGTTTTAATCAGCAATGAAAAATACTTATATAAGGCAATCTTCAATTTCATATTCTGAATGCACTATAGGGCAATAGAATTATTTACAGAAAGTATTTGGTGAATAATTTGGAACAACAAATGAATTTGAAAAAATGCAATCAATTTGAAGTCTATCTGCAAACAGAGGGGCAACATCTGTTTAATAAGGAGCCACGCCATTAATTATTCACCCAGCCCCACTAAAACACTACTATCTCCAGTTTGCAGCTGGTGAAAGAGACACAGAGAGCCAAGTACTGACCTCAGTTACACCGGCCTATAAATTGTCACTGGAGTGGTAAATACTAACTTAAGCCAGGGAAAATGAGAGCCAAGAGCTAGGAAGGTTTGTATTTCCATCCTCCTTGTTTAATTCTCCCTAGAAGTCAGAGAATTTCCCGAACACAACAAAGATGGTGGCAGGGGGTGTGCTTGGGAACCAGCTGTAAGCACCGTCCCCACCCAGGACTGTCCTTGTGAGCAGCCTTGGGCTGCTGAGCAGCCAAGCAATGCTTTGGGGAGCCTGCAGCACCTGCTCACCATGCAGCCCTCTCCTGTCCTGCCTGGGGTAAAACCCTGCCACACGCCAGGGACTGCACTGCCTCCTGGCTAAGCTGAGGGAAAGGAAAACCTGGCCCAGCCCTGCCCCATGCCCAGGGTTATTTCTTGGGGAGGAAGAGAGGGCAAGGCAGAAAGGAGCATCTCATGCTGTGTGGCAGTCCCCACAGTTCACTGTCACCACTGCTACCCTTGCAGTTTACTGATGTGTGTCTGGGGACTCAGAGCCACTCCTAGTTGCCAGAGTCCGAATTTCACACAACATGGCAGAAAGCAAAAAATGTCCATTTTTGGACTGAACTTTCCCTCCGTAACCATGACAAAGCCATGGTGGGATCTGACACAGGCAACGTTTATGCCGCTGAGACTCAGTAGATGTCGTGGCTTGGACACAATCCTGCTGCAGCACTGTATCAAAGTGGTTTGTCAGCTCATCACAACTGTTGCAATACATATCACTGCTTTGATAACAAATTATTTTGAGATAAACATGTGCTTGAGGCATTTTGCAAGATTATACAGATCATGTATTGGGCACGCTAAAAATGGATACTAAATCTGGTCTGAACATTTATGTCTTTATGATATGAAGGTCATAGACTATGAAACTTAAAAATAGTTTTCAAGGGTAAATTTTTTTGGGTATTTGTAGCTCTTCCTACAATTGAGGTCAGAAATACCTCTCTTCTTATAATTCAGCATGACATCTCCACTAACCTGGTAGCACCTCACACTGTGCAAACACAACAGACCCTCCTCCTCCCAGCAACCTACAGGGAAGAGAGGGGCAATACATCTACTACTGGTACACAGTTTCAAGATCTGCCACAGTGATGATGTCACTTGCAGATGTCCTCTGCATACATCCTGTGAAGACCCAAGAAGGTATGGAGATTAGCTCTCAACAGAAGAAGGAACCCCCCACTGCCCATGCACAGGGGTTGGAACCAGATGATCTTTAAGGTCCCTTCCAACCCAAACCATTCAATGATTCTAAGATTATATGATTATGTAAAAATGAAATTAAACATGTTCTGTACAAACACAGACATTCCCCTTTCCTGCCAGCCAGGCATAGGAAGTTCAATATTGTCCAAAATGCTTTGATGAAACTAGTAATGGCAACAAATACTTTGGTCCCATGGAGAGAAGCCCTTAATCACAGGAGGCACACTCTTACACATATTATCACTACACTTTGCAAAAGTATATAAAATATCAGAATTTAATGAGGACACAGCTGCAGATAAACAATGTTGTGCTGACAATGTTGCATATACTTTTCTCCTTATGCCTATTCTGTTTTGTTTATACATCTCTTTGGTTCTGTACTTCTGAAAATAAGCAAAAAAACTGCTTAATGAGTAAAGAAGTCAACAAAGTGAGCTGAAGAATTCATAAGCCATCTCCCTAAGCTGGAGTTAATTTTACAATGTTTAGATAGTTTAAATGAAGTAATTTTAATAATTTAATAATACTTTTAAATAATTAAAATAATTATAATCATTTAATATTTGTCTTCACAAAAGCAACTCAAATTAAAAATGGTAAAAAAAGCTTTCCCATCAGTAGAAGTGTTGTTTCCACTGCAGCTCCTATCACTGCATGCAAGACCCTCTGCCCATATACGAAACACCCAGAGGCTACCATCATGGTGGCCACAGGGCAAATGCCCCCTGGGAATGGTCCCCAGGCTGTGACAGTCAATGACCTACCACTGCCTCCTTGCCATCACAGAATCCACTAGCAGAGATGTCCCTTCCATGTCTACCCTTGTGATTCTAAGCAGAGTTAGCTCGAGTATCTAATGGGAACACTTCAAATCAACCCACCCACTGCTCCCAGCCTCATGCAGGGCTCATGCAGGGCTCAGGAGCAACCACTTCAGCCTGACTCTTTCCTCCAGCTACTGCAATAAAACTACTAGTACAGATGGAAGCAAATTCCTGCTTCCTTCCAGTCATGAAGTGACCCCAACATGTTATTACAGTGATGAGTGGTTATGGAAAAAACTCACCTTCAAAACAAACACATTTCTTCTGTTCATAAGCTTCACATCTTAAGTGCTTTGGATTATTTGATAAAGCCAGCTATGGTCAGAGCTTCTGTTTTAGAGGAAATTTCATAATTGATTTAAATTTTAAATCAGATTAAAATAATACTGACTGAAAATAGTATTTTTTTAAATATTCACAAATTGAATATCTAGAAGGATTTGGGCTGGGCTATTTTATTTTAGAATTTGAATTGCATTTTGCATATCATTTTATCTTTCCTTTTTAGATGTTCATGCAGTTTCACCTAACAGGTAGTTGCAGGTAGTTGCTGGTACTGAAATATTATAAAATTAATACAACTGATGGAATACATATGGTAATTCTTTTGGTATGAATACATACAGTAATTCATTTAAGGGAAAATATATTATTTTCATCTTCATTAGTTTGTGGTTTGGTAAACAAAAATCTTCATACTACATATAATGACAGGGCATAGGTTAACAAAACTATTTCATTATGATATTTTAAAATCTCTGTAGCTGAGAGCTAAGAGGTATATACTGAAGGACTCATTTTTCAGGTTGATGTGTCTCCTACTTGTGTCCCATGAAACAAGAGAAATTTGTTCATAAAATGCCTGCTGTCACTACTTACAGGCCACAATGTAAGGAAAGGAATAAAAGCCTCATGAAAGACAATTCAGGCTAAGTCTAAATTGAAGTTTTCAGAATGAAACATTTTCCAGAAAGATAATTTCCTTTGGTTTTAATTTCAAACGTTATTTAATTCAGTTCACTAATTAATAAAAAAAAACCAACTCTATGTTTTATTGAAATAGCATATTATAATTGAAAAAGGTGTTTTCAAAAAAAAGTCTGCCCATTCCTAGAGATGAAACAAAGTGTCTTATGGCCCATTCACACTCCTACTGAAATATTGGTGAAATTCTCATTTGCAAAACAGTAACAGTGACAGGGCTTTTTCTTATTTCACTTCTTTTTCCAGACTGAACAAGGTTACGCAAACACCACAGTGGAACAAAGGCAGCATGACTAACTGAAAAAAAGGTCAGGAAATCCTAAATTAAAAAAATGTGCCATCTTTTCATCTCTTTGAAGTTTTTCCAGCTCCCACTGCCCAGCAGTGGTATGTAGGAAAGCCAAAATCTCCCAGCCAAAACAACTACAAAAGGACAATGACTTGAAACCAGAAAATTTCAGCCGATCTCTCCTGGTCCTGCTTGTGGTGCCCAGAGTAGCAACATCAACACTGACAACAACAAAAAATGGAAAAATCTTGACAGCCATTGCTCTGAACAAGTCACCTACCTCTACTAGTGCCCTAGATCCTGATAATGGAAAACCCGCTGGGTCACCTGCACACTGCCACAGTGACAACCAGCACAGAGACTGCAGATGATCCAGCCCTATAAAGGCATTACAATTTTACACCCAGACCACAGTGCACAAACCTTTGGAGAGACTAACCCAGTCTTGGTTAGTTCTTTAAAAATACTGAAATAAACACAAGGAAAACAATAAAAAATATATATTAAAAAAAAAAAAAACAGCCAAAGAAACAACAACCCTAAGCACTACAATAATAGCAGGCTTGGACCCATGTGATGTTTTTCTGATGCAGTATATAGCATCTGTTATCTGCCCCAGGTACATCTGAGGTGACTGTCATTGGGGTATTTATAGCCCAAGGAAGAGGAATGAAGGAGGCAAAGCTCAGAACTTAAGCTACAGAGCAACATAGTGAATCTCATTAAAAAGGAGCAGGCACAATGTCAGTGGTACTTTATCGTGGCTTTTCCTTATTTGCCTTGGCCCTACAGATTACGGGAGAAAAGGGCAGAGGTGGGAAGCCCTGTTTCCCTCCCCATGCTCCTCCTTGGAACAAGACTCCACTCCCAGAAAGGCTCCGACTGACTCTGCTGAGAAGGGAAGGAGAGAGGAGGGGAGCTCTACATAGTACACAGTGACTTTCAGGTGTGCAAAGGAGAAACTGAATTTTTAAGCTATTTTCTTAAGAGCTAGCTATAGAAAAAAACCTTCTAGCTGTGGATGATTACATGCTGGAACTACTTTGGGGGAATTCCTGATGCTGACGGTTATTAAAAGCAGGGGACATCATTATTGCTGAGCAAAGGTCTAGTTTATACCTGTCCTGCCATTGTCAAGAGGAATAGGGAGGGCAATCTTTGGATAATTTTTACAGGCTTGTGTTTTTAATAACTACTGCTCAGAGGCCAGTCTTACTGACACAAGTGCATACATTGTAACTGCATCTCAGACAACTTGGTGAAATATTTATTTTAATGGAAGCGCTTTCCACTTTCGGTATAATCCAGGTACACAGTTGCCTGTAAAAAGCAGCATGATACTCATCTGCATAACTTCAGGTACATTCCTGGAAGCTTGAGTCAAAATCCAGAGCACATGCCCCTAAAAACCGGCTTGCCCTGCAGTTGTCAAAAGTCCCAGTGCAGAGACGTGGCTGCCTTAATCCCTGATGTATCTGCAGCATCTTGGTCTGGCAGAGGAAAGCAATAGCCATGTTCCTGTTCCCAGAGAAGGGAAGCACTGAGGCTCACCTCTCCCTGCTCCAGCCTACAAGGTGCTTGAATGCAAAGCTCAGCATTCTTCCTGGCTTGGGATTTCCTGGCTGGGCTCAGGCCTGCATTGTCCATCAGGATGTGCCCAGTGACCATTGAGCTGTGGCTGGCCCTGTCTGCCCTGATGCTGCATGCCTTCTCATTAGCTGCTTCACCAGGCCAGGCTTAAAAAAAAAACAAAAAAACAACAACAAACAAACAAAAAAAACCCACAAACAACAAAACAACAAAGTCTTGGGAAAGTTTAACATAAGTATTAGAAAACAGTGGAAAACTAGAAACACATTGGCATGTCTGTGCAACGGAATTCAATAATCAGTAGGACAGCTGGGTAAGAACCAGCATGCTAAGCACATCCCCTAGCACACCCTCTGACCCTGTCTCCATACTGGGACTAGGGTAGGAACAACAATTTAAAAGCCTCTCAGCTGAGGGGCAGCAGCAGCTTTCTAGCCAGACGTCCCAGTGGCTTTGCACATGCTGCCTGGGTGAGACAAACCTGGGGAGCCACAAAGGAAACAGCACCCAAGGGAAACTATGTCACCCAGAGGCAGAGCTGCATCCCAGTCCTAAGCAAAAGCAGCAGCTCACTGTCAAAAGCAAGAGCAAGGTCTCATGCTTTCTCCTGTCCTGCCACCTCCCCACTCCTCCATCCCTCTCCTTCCTAGCCCAGGTCTTCTCCCTTCCCTTTTGCACCAATTCGGTTTCATTTCTCTCATGGAAGTTAATTCAACCCATGTCCCCCAGGGAAAAAAAAACAACACAACTTTTGAGCATGGACATCAGGGGATCTACAGAAAAAAATGACACTTCAAACACTACTGGAAGCAGAAACAGAAAAACATCAACAAAGTTTATCATAGTGCTTAAAGATCCTAACCAAATGTTGGGCATTGCTGGTGAAAATAAATTCTACTAAGCAGGGTATTACTGTTTTTAAATTAAATTATAAAAATAGACATGAAAGTCAGCCTGCTACATTTTCTGAGCATCTGTAACATGGGGGAAATATGTAAGAGAACTACATCTCAAAGACTTTGTATTTCTTATAAAAAAAATACAGCTTCCTTATATATAAATAAAAAGGGCAGTTAAGCTACAAAAACACCAAACAGATAACTTGAAAATCTCTTTTCTCATCAATCAACATCATTTAAGGGTGTATTTTCCAGGTGTTTGCTATCCAGAGCTTATTTTCATCAATTGGAACCATGGCAAAAGTGTTCATGCTCCTTGAAAAATTTTCTCCTTGATGTCCCTTAATCTCTTTGCTTTATCTATTACAAATTCCTCTCTTGCTGAGACACACTACAAAACTAAGCTCTTGAAGAAACAGCTTATTTGGTATAAGAAGCAAAATTCAAAGGGAGCTTCTGAGGAAAATGGTCAGATAGAGAAAACTGACAGTTATACATGTATTACGGACATACACACACACAAAGATTAAAGTATAAAGAGGACAAAGCTGACCATGTGAGAAGCAACTAATCTGCAGGGTGAGGACAGGACATGCAGCATCTTGTGTTGCCACAATCCCTACAAGTCCTGAGTAATTGTTTTGTAGCTCATTATTGATGGACACAAGAGTGCCACACAAATAAACATTATGGCCAAGGTTCCAGCACAGGCCTCATACAACTACACCACCTCAATGGCAGTGACCTCCCACCAAACATCTTTGCATTGATCACAACTAAAGCAAACACCTGCTTTCTCTAGCAAGTAGAGACATCGGTCCCATTGGTTTATCTTAGGCCATGACTCGATGGAGGATAGCACCAAGGAAGCTAGATATGAGAGCTGAAATACACAGTTTCAAAAGCTACTTGTGACACTTCGCAAAACCACAGAGAGGATGAGGTTGGAAGGCACCTCTGGAGATTGCCTTGTCCAAACTCCTCCTCATATCAGGCTCAACTGCAGCAGGTTGGCTCAAGTCTTTGCCCACTGGCTTTTGACTGTCTCTAAGGTCGTGACTCCACAACCTCTCCATGCAAGTGCTTAGTCACTCTCACTGTAAAAATGTCTTTTCTCATATTCAAATGGAATTTATTGTGTTTCAGTTTGTGCCCATTGCCTATAGCCCTGTCACAGGGCAACAAGGAGAAAAACCTGTCTCCATCTTCATTACTGCCCCCATCAGAT